TATTATTCTTTTTTTATAGATTTATTTATTTATTTATTTTTTTAATATTAAATTTTATTTTTATATTCCCCCATACAATTGCAAACGCCCCATTCTGACCCCAATCCTTCCCCTCCCGCCCCCCACCCCCAATATTCATTTAATTCTATCCTCCCCATTTCCCGTTGTTGGAAAGGGCTTTAGGGCTTTCTTTTCATAGAATAGAGTTGCTTTCTCTGGGATGTGCATCTATGCTGAGACTTTACTCTTTATGGAAAGAAACACAATGTAATAGGGTTGGTAGGCCAGGGTTTAAGTCCTGATTAATTAATTGGAGGCTTTGGAAAAAATGTTTAATCATGCCAAACTTCTGTCTCTTCATCTGTAAAATAAGAATATTAACAATAGAAACAAAAATAGTAATAATATCTGCTTTCAGAGGACTATTGTGAGGGTACTCAGAAGCTACCCAGTGATTATTATTCCTCATTAAGAAAATATTCTCCCTTTTAATATTCCTCTGAAAAACTCTATAGAAACTGGGCCTCCCTGGTGGCGCAAGGGATTAAGCACCACACTATGAAGCAATCCACAGCTTCTGTAGCACGAGTTCGATCCCTGGCCGGCCAGGAAGAAACCCACATGGCGAGGCAGACCTCTCCTGTCTTGCCCACTGCTCCCTTCAGCAGTGTATTTTGGTCATTCTGCCTGTTCTGTTCTCCACTCTGTCTCTGGTGGATCCTCTCACCCCCCGCACCTCTGGCCTGTACCCAGCTCTTGTATGCATAAATAAATAAATCTTTAAAAAAAAAAAAAAAACTATAGAAACCAAGATATTGTTCTCCTCTGGTGCTCTCCCAAATGGTGAGTTAAATTTTTTCTTACATAAAGGCCACTCTTGACTCATCAGTGGTTTAAGGGGGAAGTTACATGACAAATTTTTCCCTGAATGGAGGGGGAAAACATGCCAAGTCACTGCAGCCACCCCCACTGCCAGTGGGCTGATGAAGTAGGCTGGAAACAGCTGTAAATGAATTTTCATGGGCCTGCATATGTGAGCATGCTCTGTCTTTTCTACTTTTTCTAGACATGCCTTCGCTCTCATGGGCCAGGGCATCTGCTTTTTCCTTCCATTTATTTGGAGGAACAACAGTTTTTAATTTTTACAAGTAGTTGGTTGCAAACACATGTGAAATACAGATGATAAAAGAAGAACTTAGTATAATTGACTTTTCTGTGCAATTAAGTATTGCTTTCTGTGGAGCTCTTTAGCTTTACTGACAGCACTGACTGTCCCCATCTGGCTTTTCTTAATTATCAAATGTTATGTGATCCCCAGGAAGTAGCCACTGCTCTCTTTGTATTGCCGGTACCCTTGATTGTTGTACTTTCCTTATGGTTTGAAACTTGGGGACTCTGGGAATGTTCACTTGGCTCTTTCAGAACTGGATAACTCTTTTAGATATAGTGAGGGAAAGTGGTAGTCCATTGTCTCTCTTAGCAGCAAACTCTTAATTCTATAAGTGGAGTCAGGAATGAAATAGATTAATTACCGCAATAGGTGCTTGACAGACTTTAGGTTTCATAGCTTTACCCTCCCTCAAATCTTGCTCCACAGAAAATGAATGGATTTACTTCAGTTTGTTCACTTAAGGAGTATTCTTAGATAGATATTATGCAAAGTTCTGTGGGTATTTAAAGATAAACACTTTCAGGTCTCCCTGGTGGCCCAAGGGGTTAAACATCGCGCTATGAAGCAATCCGCAGCCTCTGCAGCTTGAGTTTGATCCCTGGCCAGCCAGGGAGCTACGCACATGATGAGGCAGACCTCTCCTGTCTCGCCCACTGCTCCCCTCAGCAGTGTACTTCGGTCAGTCTGCCTGCTCTGTTCCCCACTCTGTCCCTGGTGAATCCTCTCACCCCCCACACCTCTGCCCTGTGCCCCAGCTCTTGTATGCATAAATAAATAAATCTTTAAAAAAAAAAAGATAAACACTTTCTTGCCCTCAACCTCCAATCTAAGAGGGATGAGAAAATGGTATGTGTATACATGCACACATACTCAACTTATAACTCCAAAGTCCATGAAAAAAGACAATTAAGGAAGGCTAGAAGAGATTTAGAGTATCAGTTAAAGTTTTCATGGAATTTATATTTCAAAGGACTGACGGATTGGTAGAATTTTAACCCCTTTATTTTTATGCTCTTACAACAGTAAAAATGCTATTTAAAAAATCCAAAATTGACAGTGGGAAGATGAAGAAAGATCAACAGTTGGATAATACATATATTAGAAAAGGGAATACACTAATGGAGGTTGGTTTTTTCCTGTATGTATTCTATTCTGTAGTCTAATACACTAACATCTCTATTCATTCATAAAATATGTACTAAAAAACCTACTAAAAACCTGTGTTAGGTTCTTTTCTAGAGGCTTTGGGTGGACTATAGCAGAGAAACAAAAGCACTATCATCAAAAATGTATATTCTGGGAGGGTGGGGGAACAAACAATAAATGATATGGTACCTTTAAAAGGTTAGATGTGCTAAGGGAGAGAAAAAGTAGAGATAAAGAGGTTGGGAAGTGGTATTGTGGTGGGGGAGGTTGGGAATCAGTGGAATGTAATTTTAAATAGGGTGTTCAGTGTAGGCCTCATTGAGAAGGTTGTGTTTGAACTAAAACTTTGAAGTGGTAAGGGAATTAGTCATGAAGAAATCTGGGGGAAGAGCATTTCACTAGAACAATTGTGAAGGTTCTGAAGTGAGAATATGCCTGGTGTTTGAGAAATCCCAAGGAAATCAATGTGTTGGAGCAGAGTAAAGAAGGGGGGAATAGTAGATAAAGATGTAAAGCAAGTGGGAACACAGAGTGTGTCCATTTATGTAGGCTATTACTCTGAGTGAAATTGGGGAGTCACTAGAGAATTGTGAGCCAAGGATTGATTTGATCTGACTTAATAGCATCACTTTGGCTTTTGAGAATAGATGGTGGGAGTAGGGCTGCCAAGTATAGAAATGGAGAGAACCAGTAGGAGTCTCACATAATACAGGTGATTACCTAAGGTAACAGTGGTTGTAATCTAGATGTAATCTGAAGGTAAAAAGCACTAGGATTTCTTGATAGATTAAATTGAGAAAGAAAAGGGGAGCATGTCCCTAACATTCAGATAAAGATGCTAAATACGGTTTGGATATAGAGGTCTAGAGTCAAGGGAAAGGTTTGGACTAAACATAAAAATTGAGTTTTGGTGGCATATGGGTAGTTTTTACAACCTTGAGACTGAAGGAGATCAGCAAGTCAGTGAATATAGCTAGTTAAGAGAAGGGACCAAGTACTGAGCCCTAAGGCATTCTAATATTAAGAAGTCAGAGGATGGAGCCAAAAAAGGAGATCAATGAGGTAGCAAGAAAATGAGGAGAGGATGATCTAGGACTATAAGTGGAAAAAGTGTATCAAAGGGAGGCAATTACATTGAGTTTTACTGACAGGTCATATGAGATGAGTAGGATGAAGATTGAATCAACCATTGGATTCTTTGGTGACTATCACTAAATCCAATTTTTATAATTCAGGGAAGGAATTGGTAATTAAAGAGATTTGTTGTCCATTGTATAATTTGAATAATGACTAATACCTGATTTTTTTTCAATTTCCCCCTATGAAAGTAGTACTCCTTTATTTGTTCATCATCTTGCCCTATCAGTGCATTCTGCAAGGATTTTCTTTGATGCCCCAATACAGAGCTACAAGATGAAGTTTTCCCATGAAATGCTGAAAGTATCTTCTAATCCATAATCTGCCTTTTTTTATCTGACCAAAAATTATTTTTTTATGCCCACTCTTAACAGTGTTTTTCACTAAATTCAGTTAAACATTTTCAGTTTCTCATATACTTTGTTCTTGGTATCTTGGATGTGTTAATATCTAAATCTGAGAAGATTAAGGACATTTACCTTCTTCCTGAGAACCAACAGTCTTTCTTTGAAATGCAAATTTGTCTCCTGCCTGACTTATTTTCATGTCTTCCATCAGCCCCTTTCCAGCCATCTGGTTCCTGTTGTTGGTGGGACTTGTCCCTTCCTAATTTCAGTGTTACCCATTTGCCAGTTGGCCAGTGCACAGGTTGACCTATGTATAGTGAACTGTTGATGGTTGCCTTGTTCAAAATTTGGGTGCCTATGTTCTGTGTGGGTGTGATACCTTTTACCAGTGATGTTGAACCTTTGTGCTTATCTCAAGTTCAGAAATGATGACATCTTTGTCTGTTATAAATTCCAGGCCTGTGGTACTTTTCTGAGTCATTGAAGAAGGAAACCTGTAAAATGGTCCTTAATATACAGCTTTCTTTCAGTGACCTCTTGATTTTAATCCATACATGGTAGCTTTACAGCCTGTTTTCTAATTCAAATTCTCAATACTTGGGCTCTGCTTATTATTAAAGTGACCCAAATCTTTATTTTTAATTTTCCCACATACCTAGAGGAGAAAAACAGTTTATCATTATTTTCCCACTGATTTTTATGTTTGTTTTGTTTGCTGTCTTCATCATAGAAATTGAGGGCCAGTGGATCAGAGATTTTGGAGTGTGTTGTATTTAAGCAATTCCATGCTTCTGATTCTGCATGTCCCTAGCTCAGCTGCCTAACTGTTCCCAAGCAGGTTACTCTCATTTTGCTCATGACTGGCCTTTTCTAAGGTAACACTTGGATTCTATCTTGGGGATCAAAAACTTGAGAAATATTTTAAGTGGCTGTGGCTTCATTGACAATAGACTTGCAGTGGGTGGATGTGGGCAATGCTTAAAGGCTAAATAAAGGTTCTTGGTAAGAGCACATATGCTGAGAAATATTTCATCTTCTCTCTTTCCATAGCAACTTTATCTGTAAGCTTAAACATTTCTGCTGGTGGTATTAGTTAATAAAAATTTCATTCCAGTTCAAGCTGTTTGTCTGCCATTGCTAGAACCTATTTACTTTCATCTATTTTATTGTTTGATTTTTGTTTCCTTCTATCTTCCCAGGTGGCATTGGTAGGGTGGTCAACGGAGCCTTCATGGTGCTGAAAGGGCATCGGTCTATTGTTAACCAGGTCCGATTTAACCCCCACACCTACATGATCTGCTCTTCTGGTGTAGAAAAGATTATCAAGGTGAGGTACCTTCCTTCCCCTCTGTCCTCTTGGAGAAATTATTACAATTCAATTCATAACCTAATATATTAAAGTTCTATTAGAATTCTCAATTATTTTGACATATTACAAAATACTGGAAAAAATGATATTAAAAGGTGTGGTTTGAGGCCATTTTTAAAAATGTGAAACATAAGGTGTCTTGTAGATACTATCTTTTGTGCTGCTACATTTCCAATGACCTTTGATCTGGAATCTAAAAGAATTCTGGAGGCTGCCTGGTGGTGCAGGAGGTCAGTCTCAGCACTGTGAAGCTATTGCCAGCCACTGCTGCTGAGTTCGATCCCCGGCCAGGGAGATAACCCACATGGCACAGCAGACCTCTCCTGTCTCCCCTACCGCTCCGCTCAGCAGTGTATTTCAGTAGTTCCACCTGTTCAGCTCCCCACTCTCTCTGGTAAATCTTCTTGCCCCCCTCACCTGTGGCCTATTCCCCAGTTCTTATATTCATAAGTAAATGAAAATAAATCTTTAAAAAAAAGAAAGAAAAAGAAAATGGAATGAATTCTGCTTTCTAAACCTCATCTACAGATTAGGAAGCCACTATCACCTCAGTTACTCAATGTGTACTTTGCATTAATCACTGTGCTAATGTGGCTCGTATATAAATCACTACCAGAACTATAGTTAAATTGTCTCAGGACATATCAAAAACCATTGAGTGTTGATTGAGGCAAGACACTTGCATCAACTGTACATTGACTGAATAAACTTAACCCTGCTAAGGAATATTTTTCTGTCTTGCAACTGACAGACCCAACCTGGCCTGTGTACATAGAAGGGTGGCCCACTGCCCATCATTCACAATGCTAGAAAAAATGAGATCTGAAAAAAATGAGAGTTCAGGGCAAATGATGAATTGTTGGAACCCTGTTGACAGTTGACTTTTAAGTAAACTAAATGATAATAGTGCAGAAAGTTAAAACTTCTCATTTTTACCCCTAAAATGACATTGAAGATTTCAGGGGGAAGTGAAAATTGGTTTGTGATAATTTGGTAGTTTTTTTATTTACTTGTGTTCTTTTTTTTTTTTAAGATTTATTTATTTTTATTTATACAAGCACTGGGTACAGTCAGAAGCGTGGGAGGGTGAGAGAATTCACCAGAGCCAGAGCGGGGAGCAGAACAGGCAGACTGATGAAGTACACTGCTGAGGGGAGCAGCGGGCACAGCTGGAAAGGTCTGCATGCCATGTGGGACCCTCGCCGGCAGCCGGGGATCGAACCAGTGTTGCAAAGGCTGCAGGCAGCTTCGCAGCCCAGTGCTCAACCGCTGCGCCACCAGGGAGGCCCCTTTACTGTGTTCTTAAAAATCAATCCAGAGTTAAACGAAGTTGGTTTTGAGGCAGGGGCTGCTAAGTATGGGTCAGTGTTTTTATTTGCCCTTAGTTCAGCTTTATTATTTAGGTCTCTGTTGATCCTATGGATCAAGGCTGACTTTCATGATTACATAGTTTCCCTTAGGCCCTACAATAGTACTTCTGGATAATTTTTCTTGCTACAGATGCACAAATTTAAAGTAAATTAACATTCTGGGGCTATTACACAGTTAATTAGTGGTGAAGCTAGGAGTGATCCTGTCCATTGGTCTTCCCTATGCACTGTCACATTCACCGTGCTAGTGGGAGGGCAGCAGGCAGCCCGATGCCACTGCTGGGCTTGACTGTCTCAGTGGATCTTTACCTGGGCAGTCCTTGAATTGGCTTGTCTCTTCATTGCTTTCCTTCTTCTTTGGCCTATTACTAATGGATTGGCATAGCAGGATGCCTTCACTAAGCCCGCTGACATCATTCTCTTTCTCGGAGAGCTCTGCTTGGGCATCTCCTTTAGAAGAGAGATTCCTGTTTGGCCGTGCACTCTAGGATGCTTCTGTGCTAAGTCTCCCCAATTACTGTTTAGTCAACTGGAGTCCTTACTCTAAAGGTCATAGGTTGGAAACTAGCCAAGTTCTCAGAGAAAGAAAAAATGTTTTCTTTGTGAGGTTATCCAGACTGGACTACGGAATTCACTGCTTCCAGGTTTCAGTAGGTCTGACCCCTACCTCACCAGGAGGCATACTCAGCCAGTTGAAACCTCAAGTCAGTACAGTTAGTATCTTAAGCAGTTCTTTGAGTCTGTTTCCCTTCTGTCAAGTGAGGATGCTAACAGTGACTTGCTACCCAACCGTACCTTGTGAATTACCTGTGCCTGATAATTTCTGATTATTTTAATAAATGTCACTTTCCTGCTTGCTATTTCTGAGAGGATTAATAACTCAGAGTAGTATCATTCCTTGTCCAACCTGAGACCTGCTTTTCTCTTCACCTCTCTTTCTATTCCACCTTCTCTTGTCTTATCTTTTTTGCTGCCTTCTGGCCCAGAGAAGAATAATCCGTGTTGTGGGGCAAGTCTCTTTTCACATGGGTCTTCTCACATGGGGTCTTCCAGCCCCCTAAATGCCCATACTTGGCAAAAGAGCAGGCTTATTTTGTAGTTAAACATAAGGTGGGCGTCAAGATGGAGTGCATGCTGGCATTTTTTTCTCAAAGACCAGTATTCATTTATTAAACCATATTTGTGATATACCTATTATGTGCTGTTTGTGCTAGGCCCTATAGGGAACACAAAGGTAAAGAAGGATAACACAGATTGCCCTTGAAATGATGACCCAATAAGAGAGACAAGAAATAAAGATCGTGAAAGATGCAATATGTGCACAAATGGAAAATGCAAACCAAGAGCTGGGGAGGTTTCTTCGGGGGTGTCTTCAGGTTTTGAAAGATAAAGACTACAAAAGGGAGAAAAGGAGTAATGCAGTAAGGGCATTCCAAGCAGAGGGGATGGAGGTTTAATCATTACACTGAGTAGTAAATATGTATTGGTCACACCCCTGTGTCATAGGCTTTGTGCTGATAAATAAATGCTCAGAAGCAGGCAGGTATGGACCTGTTGAGAAAATCACCACCTGATCAAAATGAAAAGCACAAGAAGGGAGAGCAAGGTAGAAGTCTGGGACGGTAGGACGGAGATAGGCCCAGAGGATCTTGGAAACCAAATTGGAAAGTATGAGGAATCATAAAAAGCAACTTAAGACCTTACCTATGCAATTTTTCTAAATTTAGCATAATCGTGAAAAGAGAGAAAATGGCTAGAGCTACTGACAAACACGTCATAATCACCTGAGAGTACATCAGAACCATTGTTACTTCTTTCCATTTTGATAAGGTTTGAATAAGAACTGAACTGCATCTGACTCCTCCTGAGCTAAACTTTTCACTGGACTTGAGAAACTTTTCACCCCTCCCCCCTTTTCCAAGAGCCTTGCCCCATGAGAAGACATGTTTAGCCACATTAAAAAGCAACAGGAAACTGTGTTTTTGTTGCTTCACTTGAGTTGTTGATGTCAGTATAGAGAAATAAACAACTTCACAAGTGTTTAAAGTTGATATTTCAAGGATGGAGGATCAACATAATAGAGGGATGGTCAGTATTTCTGGTGTTTCAAAGCCTGGAGATAGAATAAAATGTTCTAGTTGAGATGTTGGCCAAATGAATAAGAAAGCACTACATTTATTGGTGCTCTCCTATTTGTTGTGTCATTTCTTCATTCTCATTCCACAGATGAGAAAGAGACTCAAGGATAGGTTGCCCTTTGGTCATTTGCCCAGAGCCATGTAAAGTGATAGAACTGGGCTTCCACCTGTTCTATTCTACCTACTTCCACAGCTCTGTACAGTCCCTTGAGGATTGGAGGTTGGCTTACTGGGAAGGGGATTTAGCTTTTTTCTGAGTATAAGGATTGTATGAAACCGATCTAATTCACTGTGTAATGAGGGAACTAAACTTCACCCAAGGTCACCAGCCAACTAGGGGCAGAGTGGGAATCCATACTTGAGTCTCCTGCTTCTTGGTCCAGCATTTTGTTCCATTACTTCGAGCTTCAGGAATGAAGGTATACCTCAACTTAATGCATTCCAGAACTCAAATAAAAGCTGACTTTCAGTGTTATGATTTTCATTCCTAAAGTGAAAACTTGGTGGGGGGATGGGTGGTAAGAGATTAGAACCTAGAAACTGTCTTGCCGGTTAGTTGGACCAGCATCTCACCATTATTATTTTACGGTATTAGTTTTTGTGAAATACATATAGATTTATCTTCATATTAAATGATATGATTAGTAGCATTTTGTCATTTTTTTTTTTAACTGGGGAAATGACAGAATGTAGAACAAGACCAAAAAACATCCTAAGGGCTTTGCCTCTTGGACCTCTCAGCTTCCTTTGTAAGCCACAAAACTTTCATTCCCTAAGCCATCTGTTCACAGAGATAGTCCCCTTATTGGAGGCTGTATCTAAATGTTTCCCAAACATTGAGTCTCACAAAGAATTTGAGAATTTCTAGACAAAACCTTTATTTACTGCTATTTATTTCATGCTGACTATATTCCAGTGTTTTTAAAAGTTAGCTGTCCCCATCCCCCAACTCACACACTTACTTACTCATTCATAAGTGCTTATTAAAAATGAAAATCCTGGGGAGAGGGGACCCAGTGGACTATGGTAGAGGATTATGGATGCTTTGGTGGTAGGTGTAATGTAATATATATCTGCAGGGTTGCGAACCTATACCCAAAATCATGTACAGCGTTGCAAATGAATAAGAATAATGCAATTTAAAAAATGCCACCAGATATATGGATCAAAATAAGAAAGGAAAAGTTAAAAAAAAAAAAAAAAAAGCAAAATCCTAAACCTAACCATGACTTAATCAGAAACACTAGAATGGGGTTTAGGTATCAATATTGACTTTATACTTTAGGTGATTCTCACGCACTCCAAAGCTTGAAAACCACAATCTTAAAACTCCCTGGGTAAGGTTATGAACCTGGAGAAATGCTAGACTACCTGAGGAGTTTTGGGCATGGAACATAGTTGGAGTGAATCTGTGTTGGGAATTGCTATAAAGGACCTAATCTAGAAGGTTTAATCCCTCTTGAACAGGGAACCCTTTTAAAGAGATCTCACCTCCCAAGAGTTCCAAGTAAAGCATGGCAGAATTAGGCCACAGGAAACTTTATCCCAACATAGCTTTGGGGAAACAAAACCATTGTCTTCATGGAGAACAGGGAATGAAGGGTCACTGCTTTCTGGGTTGGGTGCCATCTAAAGATAGACACCAGCCTGTTGGGGGGGAAAATGCCTGGAATTGCATCTGAGTTGCCGTAGCTATTACCTGAATTAACTAAGTTATCCTGTACTGCTCTGTGGACCAGTCTGACAATCAGGTGAAAGTTGATCATTCTCATTTGCAGTAACAGCTTAATTACCTTGAATTTGATTTTTACATAACTTGTTTAGTATGTAAAGTTGGACTTCTGTGTTTAGCCCTGAGTTTGAATCTTAGTTTTGCCACCTTTAAACTATAAACCCATGTCTCTGATCACTGAGTAGAGGGGAATTAAGAAATGGGACCACAATCTGGGTGGAAGAGGGTATCCTACCTATTCTGCAGCTAACTGAAGAGTTGGGGAGCAAGTCAGAAGCTTCCAGGTTAAGAGAACCCAGTTTCCTGGGTAACTGATGCCTGCATGTCCAGGAGTGAACTGCAGTGTAGGCAGTTGGTTATTCTTATCAAGCTCCAGTAAGCAATTCCCATTAGTTAAAAATAGAAATGTTAGAGTTGGGGAGAGGTGGAGTGAGTTATAGGCTGAAATATGAACTGTCACAGAGGACTGTCTGCCGTGTCTGTTTTCATTTTAAAAAAGTGGTACCTCTGCACAGCTCAATCTTCTGAGAGTTTTGAACACATTGCTCAATCTTCAAATCAACCTCCATTCTCTGAGATTATGAAGAGGGGGTTTTGTCATTTTCCATACTACTAATAAAGGAAGCTAAGGGGAGGAGGTTTATAGGGAAGGGAGTATGTAATTATCCTGGGCCTAGAGACCAGGCCTCAGGTCTCCTAACTCTAGGCCATGTTTCTCCCCCATCTGACTCTAGAAGCCTTAGTTTTCACATGTAACCCATATAATCCATCCTGGTGTTTTTAAAGTTGGTTAGTAACTCCTGGCTACATGACAGGGAGGATCTGGGGAAGTTCCCACCAGCTTTCGAATACTTTCCAATCAGTCCTTGTTGGTATTGTTTTTTACCTTCTGTGCAGATCTGGAGCCCCTACAAGCAGCCAGGCTGTACTGGAGACCTGGATGGTCGGATTGAGGATGACTCCCGCTGCCTTTATACCCACGAAGAATACATCAGCCTTGTGTTGAACAGTGGAAGTGGCCTGTCTCATGACTACGCCAACCAGTCTGTGCAAGAAGACCCCCGGATGATGGCCTTCTTTGACTCCTTGGTGCGCCGCGAGATTGAAGGCTGGAGCTCCGACTCAGACAGTGACCTTAGCGAGAGCACTATCCTCCAGCTGCACGCAGGGGTTAGTGAGCGCTCGGGCTACACTGACTCTGAGTCCTCCGCCTCGCTGCCCCGTTCCCCTCCGCCTACAGTGGATGAGTCCGCTGACAGCGCCTTCCACTTAGGGCCCCTGCGGGTCACCACCACCAATGCAGTAGCATCAACACCACCACCACCCACGTGTGAGGATGCAGCCTCTCGCCAGCAGCGCCTATCTGCGCTGCGGCGCTACCAGGACAAACGCCTCCTGGCCCTTTCCAACGAGTCTGATTCTGAAGAGAACGCCTGTGAGGTTGAACTGGACACAGATCTCTTCCCTAGGCCACGGTCACCCAGCCCTGAAGATGAGTCCAGCAGTTCCAGCAGCTCCAGCAGCTCTGAGGATGAGGAGGAGCTGAATGAACGCCGCTCCTCCACCCGGCAGCGGAATGCAATGCGTCGCAGGCAGAAGGCCCCACGAGAGGAGAGACCTAGCGTCCCTGCCAAACCCACCAACACCTACATTGGGGAGGACAACTATGATTACCCCCAGATCAAAGTGGATGACCTCTCCTCCTCCCCCACCTCATCACCTGAGCGGAGTACTTCCACTCTGGAGATTCAGCCTAGTCGGGCATCACCCACTTCTGACATTGAGTCAGTTGAGCGAAAGATTTATAAAGCTTACAAGTGGCTGCGCTACTCCTATATCTCCTACTCAAATAACAAAGATGGAGAGAGCTCTGTGGTGTCTGGAGAAGCAGATGAAGGGAGAGCAGGAACCAGCCACAAGGACAACCCAGCTCCTTCTTCCAGTAAGGAAGCCTGTATAAATATGGTCATGGCCCAGAGGAACCAGGACCTGCCCCCAGAAGGCCGCAGTAAGGACAATTTTAAAGAAGGGACTTCTGCCAGAAATCCCAGCAATGGCCCAGGTCATGAGCATGGCAGCCATCCTTGGGCAGAGGTGCCAGAGGATACCTATCAGGACTCTAACAATGGTGGTTCTGTAGAACACTCCTTTGAAACCAAGAAGCTCAATGGAAAGGCCCTGAGCAAGGCTCTGAACAACCGGGCTGAGGAGCCTCCCTCTCCTCCTATTCCTAAGGCATCTGGCTCCACTCTCAGCAGCGGGTCTGGCAACTGTTCCAGGACCCAGTCTGATGACAACGAAGAGAGGAGCCTCGAAACCATCTGTGCCAACCACAACAATGGACGCTTACACCCCCGCCCCCCTCATCCCCACAACAATGGGCAGAACTTTGGGGAACTGGAGTCAGTGGCCTACTCTTCCCCAGGACATTCGGACAGTGACCATGATAATTTGTCTCTGACAGGGACACTTCTACACAAAGATTGTTGTGGGTCTGAAATGACCTGTGAGACCTCGAATGCTGGAACAAGAGAGGACCCCACTGAACCCCCAGGCACAGACAACAACAGGGCTGTTCATGGCCATAGTGTCCTCAAAAGGCACCGAGTTGAATTGGAAGATACAGATTCAGAGAATTCCTCCTCAGAGAAGAAATTAAAAACATGATAAATATAAAGGGAAAACAAAAGGCTACAAAAAGTAGCTTTATTAAAAAAAAAAATCCTGTTTAGTGAACACAGAGGAAAGGAAAAAAAGTATTAAAGGCACATAAAACCAGGGCCTGAAATTTTGTGTCTGATGCTGCTCCCTTCTATTTAACAATGGGTCTGAATGTTTAGCAGGCCGTTGGCTTGTGCTGTGTTAAGGGGAAAAATCCAAGTGACTCCTTTCCAGTGAGACTTGAACGTAGCGTACCTGTGCAGAGTCTGTTTAAGTAAATTCTTGTTGAGATGTTTGACTTGTTCTTGTGTGTGTGCACTGGCACGCGTGAGCTCATTGTCTCATAGACTTTTCTTTCAGTTCTCCATCAGAAAGGATCTATGGATTTGTATTTTTGCCAACTCGCCTTGTTTACATGCCATAGGTGTTCTGGTCTTGATGAGTGCCTGCTAAATCAGGCTGTGCTGCCAGTGAATTTTGGATTGATGCTGAAAGAATGGAGAGGAGAGCTAGATAGGAAAGCATGGCTCGTTTCTTAAAGAAATCTTCCATGTTTTCTCTAAGTAGCACTTCTTCATTGAGCATTTAACGTAGACATGCTAAAGCATTTTTAATGCTAAAGAGAGAGGTTAGCTCTTAAGATCAGATTCAAAAGAACATAGTTTCCTGATAAATTTCACTGATTGCAAATTGTGTGATGCTGTTAACACATACTGTATGGCGACTATAAAATATAACTAGTTGTGGCTAACACTTTTACCAGTTAGGTGCTAGTTCTCAAGACGCACTGAAAGGCCAACAGGCATGTCCTTGGCCCCCATGTGATGGCGTCTAGACATTTTGAAAGAAGGGGGAAGACAGTTCTCAAAAGCTTTGTGCTCAAACTCCTCAAGTGGATATTATAGGTACATTAAAGAAGAAGTATAGTAGAGAACAGGGTGTGGTACTATATTAATTTAATTCAACCCAAAATAGTTGGTCAGAATTAATGGGACTGGCATCTTCCCTCAGGCTTGTAATTGACCAAAGCTGTGGTGTGCTAACTAGATCTTGCAGAGCAGAAGGCATCTTGAAGTAACAGATTCTTAATGAGTAGTTCTGTTAGAACACAGAGTGTGTGGAGAGGGGAGTCAATGATTTAAGACTTCTAGAAGAGACTCAGCTTCATTGTAGATAAAGATTGAGAGGGGAGAAAACCAAGAGAGGCTTAGCATTGCAGTGGTGGTTACAATCACTCGGTTATCAATGAAGGGTTCTGCAAGACAGGAAGACCTATAAATGACCAGATACCTTGTTGGCATAGATGTCATGAAAAGGCAGAATACTGGCATGGAATGAGAAAGAGAGAACACTATCACTTTCTTGAGGTGCTGGATAAATAGGACCCCAGCCAGCATTGGCCTAGACAGGGCCTAACGTGTGACTGGTGTGGCCACACCAATCCAGTGATCCTTTTAGAGGAGGACCTGTCCTACCGGACCTGGGACCAAGGGAAGACAACCTGTAGAGGATGAAGACTTGGGGTGAATTTAGGCACTGGGGGAAGAGTGGTTATTTATAAAGGGAAGGTTGTTCATCTAAGCCAAAAAGAGATACCATCTTGCAGAATTTTGTGAAAGGAAAGATGTGCCTGGTATGTGTGATGTGACTTGGGTGTGAAAACACTGTCTTGGGAGAAGGAGGAGGAGTGTGAGTAGCAGTGGGGATGCTTACAATTTAACAACTGTAATCTCACTGGGGGAATGGGAAAGTGATTCTGTAACCATTAGAATTACTTTGGATAATCAAAATGGTTCTATGATTTGTCTTTGACTATTCACAGATAATTGTAAATTCTGGTTTTATAAGCCCAAGTCATTTTGCATTTGCTTTTCCAAAATTTATTAAATTGGAATTTTTAATCCTTTATATACAAAAAAAGATACAATCACTCAGTGTGTGTTTCTCTTCCCCTTCCTAGTCAGCATACCCAGCCCTTTTGTTTTATTTTACTTAATCAGTAGATAACCTCTTCTGACTTCTCTCAGGACAATCCACAGATCATCCTGGAGAGAAAAAAATGTAATGTTCCCTTGGGAATTAACCACTTGGTAGTACATTTCCCAAATGCTGAACTTGGTCTTTTCATGTTAAAAGCCTTGATCCCATCTGAGTACTCAAAATAGAAGTCAAAGTTCATTCTGGCCCAACTTTAGTATTTAAGAAAGATCCTTTATAGCAAAGATGCCATCCTTGCTTGGAAGACACTTCCCAGCACCTCAGGTTCAGCTTTGCCAGAAGAGAGTCCGCCAGATAACCACAGGCGCAGGCTGAGAAATGTTCCTCATTTCCAGAAATATGCCAGTGATAGTGGTCCTGGAAACCTAGCAGGAACCGCTTTCAGGGTCCCTTTGCCTAAACTCTTGTAGAATTGAGGCCTCAACTTTGGAGGCACGTTTAATCCCCAGATTCTTCCATGACAGGTTTTGTTTTTTCACTAGAGCAGGTGGCACTGATTAGATTATGAACTATTCCTGCATCCTGTACGTAAGTTTTAAGTGGCTGGTTCAGATATGTAAAGCCATTTCTCTCCACTTTATTTTCCACCTGGTTTTGTTGGTGATTCCTGTGTCTCTAGGACAACAGGTTATGATTTAAATGAGTAGTTGGCTTGGGGGCAAATGAAGTTTGCAACTGTGCTTGATTTTCTAGGCTGGGAGTCCTTTGTTTGTCAAGGTGCCTTCCTCTGCTGAAGCCTTACCTCCTCACAAGCCCTGCCTCTCCCAGCAAAGCTAGCTCTTCTCTTGTGTATATGCAAATAAACCTATTATTCACTTCTCATGGCTTCCTCCTCTCTTCCAGGGAAGATCTCGTTGCTTAGGCACTACTCCTTCATTTCTTTCTCTTTTAATCCTTGCTTAGTTGGAAACTTGATTCCAAGTCACACTGAAGACTTGAAGAACTGTGTTATTCCACGTCCATGTCAATGGTCATTGTCACCTATAGATGTTAGAACAAAGATCACATTTAGCCAGAAAATTTAGCACAGAAAGAGGTATCTCCTTGGTTTCCCTTACTAGATTTAGGTAGGATAGTGATGACTTGGAACTAACTTTTATTAGTTGGCACAACCCCAAAAGAAATTATGGGAAATCTGATGTTTCCAACTATCAAACAGCTTTTCCTACCCCATGCCAGGCATGCATTGCAAATTGTTTTGTTAAAAGGGAGAAGAAAAACAAACAAAAAAAAACACCCATATGTCCTGCCTGTAAATCTGCTTTTCAGTTAACTCAAAATTCTTGCCAACCAAGACTCTTGTGAGAGAAATAAACACTTGCAAAGGAAGACTGTCCTTCCCTTATGAGCTAAGCAAGGCAGTGTGCCAGGGTTAAGCATTAAGGTGAAGTAAGGCATAGTGAGTCCAGACTTGCCCACAGCAGCAGGATAATGGCTTTGCACAACCTGTATGGTTCTCTCAGGTGAGATATGTTAGTAAGTGTTCATTTGTCCTTGAACATTCATAACGGAATGGAATATCTTAAATAGAAATGGCTTGGAAGTGATTTTGAATTTCTTAAAAGAGCAGTGCTTCCCACATACAACGGGAGAAAAATGTATGCGGAAAGAGCCATCTGTATCTTGCATTTCACTGTTATTACAAAGGTGGTAAGGTGTTTCTCAGTATGGAGACTTAGAGGCAAAGCTAAATTTTACTGGGACCAGTGCCAAAATGGCCAGAGACAGGCAGGAGGGGTTGCTTAATTCCATTCATTTAACAGAGTTTACTTGAGCTGTGCAGAGGGTACTGCAATGTTTATTTACGATATAGTCACACTGTAAGGAAATGGGATATCTAATATTTCAAACGACTGAAGTTAGGAAATGACTCCTTTCTGGAGCCCCAACCCATGAGCCTTAATGGAATATTCTAGCTCAAGTAAGAATGCTAGCTTACCAGTCTGTATCTGCCTTTGTTAGCATCCCTACCAAGGCCAGAGAAAGGCAATAAAACACTAAGATATCTAAGGACTAATCCACAATCTTTAAGCATTCTTGTGATCTAGGAAAGACATTTTGAGGGAAAGGGCATTAGGAAGACTACAATGGAAGAAATGAAATGCTAAGTGGGATCAACAGCTTTCCAGATCAACAGAACTAGCGTTGAATGTGCAATGAACAGGCCTTTAAAACAGTTATTACAATTCTTAAAAATCCCCAAGTAAAATCTTAGAATGGAAGTCAAAAAAATGCAGAATTGGTTCACAAGAAGTTCTCTGCTGGAATGCATAAATTCCACAAATGACTGTGTAATGACCCGAACTCCAGCACTTTCCCCCTAAAGCAAGTGAATGTGTGGTGGTCGGTGATTAGTATAGGCTTTCAAAGGGTAGCAAACATCTCTGCACTTGACCTCCTAGACTGGTTAGTGATGATATTTGGGGCGTCCCCTACCATTTTTTTTTGTTTCGTTTTTTCATAATTTCTCTGTATCAGAGTCAATGTTTTCTAACATTTCTAGTGTCTCCAAGACCCCACCTTAAATTGTTAAAGCTAACTTCTTTTCCTCCTAAGACTGTGAGTGGGATGGAAATGACATTGAACTAGCAAAAGAAGTGGATTCTATACTGCTTTATTGGGGTAGCTGCATGAGCCTTGGGCAAATCAAACTCTTGGGAACTCTGAAATGGAGGACGCTTTCAAGTCTTGTTCCTTCTATCCCAAGGTCTTCTAGATCCTATCTGATGTGTTTTTGTTCATGAGAATCCTATGGTGCCCCCCAGAACCAATTGGTGTGCCTTGATCTTGATCAGTGTACTACTGCTCAGAGCCTCAAGCTCCTCATCTGGAATACAGGGATTCCAGTCCCTGTCCCGGCACATTGTTAGAAGGTTGGGTGAATATACATGTGTAATTTAGAACAGTGAAGATGCAGAAAGCACTGGCGTGTGTGACATCATTATATCTTTTCTTCACTCCTGGTGCATGTTGTTAGCCATATGCACATGACAGATCTGCCGAGGAATATAGAAAGTATGTTTCC